GATTGAACAACACTCAGCTACTAGCCACGCGCACACATTCACAGAGACATCGGACGCCTTTTGCTCCCTTTCTCTCTCCCCATAGGCCACGCATACAAACACACTTGTCACTTCGAAAAACGTCGGAACGTAGTACATGGTGGCAACATCCACACAGTTTATGTGCTGAAATTCATTCATTTGTATTCAACGAACAGAAATCTGTTATTGCTTTTTCCTCTTCTCAATTTTCCATTTGGCGATTTTGAAATGGGAATTTTTTTTTTCGCTCGTTTTGCCTCTTTCTCTCGTGCGATTCATTATTATCTGTATTTGAAAAGCGGATGCTTGACAGGATATTTACTATATTGGCATTCCCATATCTTTGTTGATATTCAACACTGTTCCTGGTCAATGACCAAATGGCATACACATAATAAAAACCAACAATAACAATGACAGCACCACCACCACCAAGAAATATAAGCTGTCGATTTGATTCCGTAATAAGTTGTGAAAAATAGAGATAAACGTTATGCTTACAAAAGGCCCAGCTTAGTTCTATTGTTATTTGTTGTGGCCATGGTTGCATTGCCGTTATCTTCCTGAATTTGAATGAGTCCATTTTTGGGCTTTCTTTTCGTTCTTCTTATCTTCCCGAATAGTAAAAGTATTTTTTTCTGGCCGCAACGAACTGAAAATTGCAAGTAAAGTACATACGATCCCGATTCACCCCATTGCAAACATACACACACACATGAATTCAGCTAGATGATACCATTGTGATTCAATTTTTATGTGTTATTTATACATTTTGTTGAAGACGTAAAGGAGAAAAAATTATGCTCGAATATAAACACACATATTTTTATATATGTATTATGGATCTAAATTTATTGCTACAAATTGCAAATTGTAAATTGCGTTCAAATGTTCCGTTTCAGTCACCGGATATGCTTTGCCGTTGACTGACGAAGAATGGAACGGAAACGAAGGATGAATAACGTCTGTTCCATCATTAAAAAGAAAATGTCAAAGTGGGTGATTTATTTTGAAATTGGAATCCATATTTCGATGAAAGTACCCAATCTAATGGATCTCGTTTATCAATACCGCTATGGCTGCTGCTGATCCGCTCAAAATGCCTTTTTAATAATTCACAACATTTTACTCGGAGTTTATTTCAAATGCAGCAGAGCGAACCACTCTTGTTTTCTCAAAAGCATAAAATCCATACACAAAGACACACACACACGTGCTGAGCATAAAATCAAGTGCATAAAACTACATTTGCAACATTGGTCTGGCCGCGTGTGTCTCAGAATCATTTATATGTTCATCACATTTTCATGTTTGATGTCACAATCATTTGACAATCATTTTTTCATCCCTTTTGTTTTATTCCAATTTCTCAAGTGTGCTCCTTGCGCTGAGCAACTCACATTAACTCTTTCGTTGAATATTTCATTCAAAGCTACTTTGTTATGTAATTCATATCAATTTCATTGCTTTTTCAAGCGGTTTCCCGTGCATTCAAGTCGAAGTGTGTTGCAAGCATAAGCAAACAAACGTTTTAAATAAACAAATGAAGATGGAGAGCGATTGGCAATAAAGAAGTAAAAATAACTCTGTACAGGGCAACAAAATATCGATTTTCTCCCACTAACCGCCAACAGCAACAGGCGATCAGAAAATATGTCTAATTTTAGGCTCTGAAACTCTTCAATACTCTCAATAATCTGTTGATAATCTCGTCCCAAGTTTTGTGAATGGAAAATTTGCCTTTCAAAAGAATCAATACCCACCACCAAACAGAAAAGGTTGAAGAAAAATGAAAATGGAAAAATCGACTAAAAACGTACGCATATTGCTCTTTGGAGTTTGTTGTGTAAATTGAATTTCAATACGTGTGAACTAATCCATATGGGATTCTCCGTGATTTTCATAAACATGTGAAAATTGTGCGCTATTGTGCAAATGAGAATGCCATTGAAATCCATCGAACGTCATTCATAAAGGGCTTATGAAAAATGTGTTTCTTCTTTTGTGCCAAAATTGTCGCTGCTCCGCAAATGGAAAATTCAGTTGAAAGCACACGACCATATTTCGCTACGGGCAGAAATTTTTTTTTTTTTTGTAAACTTGACTCATGAAAGTCTTTGCATAATAAATTCGCAATGTTACTGGTTTGGTTGTGTTCACCGCAATGAGGCTATGTTTGAGTATGGGCTAGAAAAACACATAAACTAGACGTATTTATGACCAAATCAAACAAAATGCTACACACAACCTTGCAGTCTTAGCAAATTGTTCATTTTGTCTGTGCTAAACGGCTTACATGTTCGTCATCACTTGTGTTCGATATGTGTGTATAAGGATGGTTGATTCGAGCCGTGTTTATTGTGCGTAAAAATCCGCACTTGAGCAGAGAGCCGCTCGATTGCACGGATCGGCTGGCGTAAAAGGATAATATGCAAAATGTAATATCACATTACCCATTCTTTAGGCCTGTAAATTGTCTTTTAACACAAGTTTCTCTTGTATCTCCCCAGTCGGCAGTACTTCAAATAGTTGCTTTTTATTAAAAATTTAAACCGTATAATACGAAATCAATAAACCATTTTGCGATGTGATACAAGTGTTCTTTGCTCGGAATACGAGCAAAGTACACAACAGTAACGGTTGAAAGACGGCAAAGGCGGAAAAAAAGTTCAATTTCCTCTTTTTTCTACTTTGTTCGTTCATCGGCCGCATGTGAATGTGAAAGAGAGTATGCAGTGCTGTGAACATCGGTGCAAAATATGGATTTTCCATTAGTGAACAGCGCAATCGCAACACGTGGTTATCCCTTGGATTTACAAAACACAGACGATTTTATAAAAAGATCGACAAACCGTACGTGGTGCCGACAGAATTTTGGACACTGAAAGTGAAAGAGAAACAAAGGGATACAAATCGGGTAGGCTAAAATGGAAATGATCCAGATAGAGGCAACACACATTGACGACCGCTCCAGATAGTCAGCTCAAATATACGACAATTTTTCAGTCAGCTGGTGGTGGTGTGGAATTTTACACATTTTTCTATCAAATAACGACAGAAGAAAAAAAGTTGGCGAAAAAGAATTTCGCTTTTGTTTTCACTTGTTCGCACGAAGACTTTTTTTTTCACTTGTTCGCCATTGGGGTGAATCGGATGCGGCTGAACCAACAGCCCCAGTCAACCAAACTATAGTGAATTTATTCACATGTTACGCAAGAATTGGTTCGGAACATCAAACGGACTGTACGATGAACGGAAGAAGGAAGAAGAGAAAAACTTTCGCCCGAAGTATTTTTTTAGCAAGTTTGTTTTTCATCTAATTTTGGCGGTAAACATCCTACGCTCAAAAATGATTTCAACATTCTCATTTTTCCCGACTTGCTTTTCTCGCTTTCTTCCTGCTCGTTTCATTTATTGCCGGAATGTATGTTTCACCATATTTATATTATGAAATTACGTCTGGAGGCTGCTGAACTCTCTATGCGTTACGTCAATTGCGTGTATCTATGTATGTGCGTGTGCACTTTTGACGGGTTTTGTTTTCGTTTTTCATGCGTTCGTCTATTTCTTTTGGTTTGTAGTTTTTATTATATTGTTATTTTTATTATGCATAATGTATGATTATTGCCCTCATTCCTGTACCGGGAAAAATGCCGGCAAACGTTTGCCTCTCTATCTCCCCATTCGATTCGTTGGCGCATTCGAGTTAGTCTGCCTACATAAATTCGCTTCTATTTCGACTTTCCTTCCTTTTCTTCTTCTTCGTTTTTTTTTTGTATTTCCGAGGGGAGAAAGGGCCGTTGCCTTCACTAACAAGAACAAATGTTTTCAGATTTGTTCTACTTTTTGCGTACCGCGCCATGTGCCAACATTGCTGCAACAACTAGACTACATAAACCAGCATCAACAGCAGCATAATCAACGCTGTGTTTGCGCGCTATGTAAAAGTGAAACGTGTTCCGTATCTTCGCTTTCGTTCATATAGAAGATATTTTTATTGCTTTAATGTGACACCTTTAAAATAATATATGCTAAAAAAGTAGACGCTTCGCATTTATATTTATAAAGTTGGCTTCATCAACACAAACAAAAACCGGCAATGACATTAGCTTCAAAACAGAACGCACAATTCATTTTGGGATGAAGAAAAAAAAAGCGCATCGACACACACACACTTTCACTTTTCTCACTTTTCCGTGCCACGCACGGCATAACTGTCAGGCAACATGAAACTTTGTCATAACAAAAGCTGCTTTCCGCATTTCTCATTGACTGAACGTGCGACTCTAACGATGTTTTGACGTGAATATTAAACAGGAAGTTATTGCTTTATCTTAAAAGTCATTATTTTTTCTCTGTCGTCCTTTTTCCCGTAAGTATGAAAATGTTAATTTCGGTGACGACGCGCCGTCATAGACTGGCACTGTTCATTTTCACCCACCGCCATCATCATCATCACCACAAGGAATTATTTCGATGTTTTTATTCTCATTTGCCTTAATTTTACACTTGTCTCATTTGATGTGGAGCTCTTGTGGTCTGCGTGTCATCGGAAGCAAATGCTCATTTGCGTGCCTCGACATCTTAGATCGTTCCGCCGTGATAATGACATGGCGCACACACACACACCCACAGCGTCGAGACTAAAATAAACGATACACAAGTAATTTTAGTGGTCGCATTCAACGAGAAGATAATTTTCGATCATAAAAATGTTCCGCTCGGTATGAATGAACTTGAGTCCTGAGCATGAAAAATCATTGGCATGCAACTTTTAAGCAGATTGTCGAAAGCTGAACGCATTTCAAGTGTCTATGACCTCGAAAAAAAAAGAACTGATAACAACCATCAGTTCCAATTTATCAGTCTCAATTTTTAGCCACAAGCATGCTCGCTGGATTCACAAGACGAACTGTTGTGCATGCAGAAAACGTATCACCCGTCTAAAGAGTAATTTGTAATGTGTCTTGTGACTTCACCTTTTGTTCTCTCGATACAAGTAGTTTGCTAGTATCGTGCGTTGCATAGATATATCCCCTCGTCTGCAGCTTCATTTGCCATTTATTCGGTTGTCGGTGGAACCGAACCATCATCTATGCGAAGAAATTTTTCTCGATGTTTCTCTTCAAAATGATTTACTCCAATATTAATTCACAACTTTTCGTTTCTTTTGCTTGCGTTAGCAGAAAAAGCTAATGCCAACAAATAAGATAAACAACGAGGGAAGGTGAACGACGTCTGTTCGCTGTTTCGATGTCTTTCTTTGTCTCTCCCACATTCACTGTCTCTCTCTCTCTCTCTCTCTCTCGGTGTGTGCATGCGTTCAAAATGGCTCAATACCGAGCAGCACCACCAAGAAATCCCTGAAATAAGATATAGGCAATGATAAAGCAGGAGGTTAGTTAATTGAGCTCCTTTTGAGTGTTATGTTGTGGAAAAATATAATATTATAGAAAACTGGATGTGTTTTTTTTCTCGTTCGCTCCGCTTTCGTAACTAACATTCTTCTTCATTTTCAGCTTGCCATTTTTACTCACAAACTGTTGTTTCCTACCTGAACCACTTCTCCATTTCGCTTTTTTTCCCTTCTTTTATCCATTCTTCGCATTTTTCTCTCCCACATTCTTTGTGCTTTATGTGATTTTCCTTTTACTATTATTTGTGCACATCAAATGATGCCACCGCTGTTGCTGCCACTGCTGCTGTTGTTGTTTTTATTGTTGTTGCTACTCCATTGCAAAAACTTGTATCTGATGTACGTGTCAAACTGGCACCCAAGAATTTCATTGGCACGTATATACTCCGCTTTTGTGCTCTGGAGTCTTTTCAAAAAAAAATTATCGCTTTAAAAATGACGCACACACATACACCACGTGATGCTGCTGCGACTCTTTCAGAAAATCATCAAGTTTATGGCACAAATTAGCTTGTCATGTAATTAACCGAAAAGATGAAAAAAACACACAAACACAAACACATTCACTCATCTCGGGAAATTCTGTAAAATGGCACCGAAGATAAGAATCCACAGCACTCACTCACATCACAGCCATTTCATCGTTCTTCGCTTCTTTGTCAATGAATTGTGTTCGGTATTGTGTGGAATGGTGTACATGTTCTCTGTATCAACTCAAATTCACTCTGGTTGACGAGAGCGAACACAAGTGTTGTAATCTTTAATTTAATCACTTTCACCGAAAAAAGCCGAAAAAACAGACATTTTATTAGAAAACTTTTGGTTACCAGATAAATTCACGATGAGGAGGGTGTGCCGGTATTTTTCTATCCCTATGTGTGTACGTTTTTTTTTTTCTTTTATCGAGCTTTATTTTAATATACGGCATCTTTTTGTGGTGGATATCGGATTTTATCGCAGCCACATCGAGTTTTGGCAAACCAGCGTGGCATCCGTTTAATTTTTCACCTAAAAAACCCCGGTGTAATAGTTCAAACGTGACGCGAGGGAGAGAGAATTTATCAATTTACCGCACATTGTTGCGAGTAGCGAATGTTGTTGTTGTTGCGGTGACATCGTCGACGATGAAATGAAGCGCAAGTTTTTCATTCAAGCTCAACAACAGACGAATATTTTCATTAAAACTACTCGCAAACGAACAAGTAAAATGTTATCGAAAAGTTTTAGTGTGAATCCGACTCGAAGGCAGACTTAAATCGATAAGTCCACAGTAATGATAATGATGAACGTCTCGAGAATGTGAGAAATTCCAACTGTTTTGTCGCTTCATCAACTTGCTGAAACATTTTCAACAATCAAAATGACAAAATTCATTTCATTCGTTGATCTGTTGTTGTTGCTGTGCACCGAGCGCTGGCATTGGAGGAGTCAAATGGATTCTATTAAAATTCTAAAGCCGAATTTCCAACATTTTATTTATTGAAGTAATTAAACTCAATGAAATTTGTTGGTGTCGCAAAAAGGCTTTTGACCCTTTTTTCCCTATCCCAGTGCGGCTTTGGTCCGATTCCCCGCCGGCCAAATATTGTATTGCTTCTTCCTTCGAAAATGTTGGTTGTTCGCATGACAAATTGTATGCCATGAGAAAATCTCATTATTTTATTGTATGTCTTGCCTTTCTGTGCATTTGAATCAACTTTCAATCCAAACATTTAGACGCTTGAGCCATGGCCATTTGACTGCAAATCGACCGTATGAAATGGAAATGCTTACCAAATTTTAGATTATGTTCACATTCTCAAACCATTTTCATAATCCAATGTCCAATAGAATGTTTTTCCCGCTCAATTTTTGCCGTCCGTTTTCCATGCAAAACTGAAAACGTAAATATTTTCAATGGCAAACAAACGTTAATTTGGCTCATTGTCAGAAAGAATAAGTCACAAGTAGCAGAGAGTGTGTGTGTGTGTGTGAGAGAGAGAGAGAGAGAGAGGGGGAGAGCAAAAGCGAGAGGTACAGTGAAAGAGAGAGAAATTGAACGAGTGAGTGGGAGAGTGAAAGTAAGCTTACTAAATGCGACGCTTTTGTTCATTGGCTAAAGAAAATTGCATTACCAATACACAGACCAAGTCTTGAATACACCAGTCGCCTTTGAAATGTTCCCTATACACATGTGAATGCTCGATAATAATAACGAAATATTATATTGCGACAAAGTATACGATAAAGGTTCCGCTCTTGTAATCAGTTGCAAAGAATTTAATTTAAAATACCAACACACGCACTACACGAGAGATGGCACGAACAACACCACACAAAACAATTCCGACGCAATAATTCCTCCAAAAATATTTAATTTTAATCCTATTTTGTTGCGTTCGAAACCGAATTCTCGTTCTGTGTCGGCGGAAAAAACCTTGTACCTTCACACCCGATATGTGTATGATACACATATCGTAACGTTATCGCATTTTGCTCTCACATTACAATAAATTTCCACCGCACGCACACACACCACCCAAAATAAAACCTCTAAATTACATTTCAAGCTTAATTTTAGATGTGTATTTGAGTAAGCAGAAAATTTCACATAAACCATTCTCTCTCTCTTTCACTACTTGTTACATCGCTCTTGGTATTCTATATTAGATGCAGCCAAATGTCTGTGTATTGAAAAGGAAGGAAGTCATTTTCAACGTAGATTGGTGTTTTGTATCGCGTACAATGACCACATTGAAACGAAAATTGTCCCCTTTTTAAATAAATTTCATACTCTATCGCTCATTAGTATTTATCTTTTGCATCGTTTAAAAAGAAATTAAATCCATTCTATTCATGTTGTTTTCGTCTGATTCATCTGGTTCTTCTGGTTTCTTCTTATCGAATAAAAATTGGATTACTCTTTCTAAGACCTGTTTGTCTCCCGATTTGACTTCTAAGTGTTTTTTTTGTGGAAATTATAATAGAAGAATGTTTAATTCTTTAGAATTTCAAAATAAATCACATGACCCACCTTTTGGAGGCGGAGTTGGTGGAACCGCTGTATAGGTTTCAATCAATTTGGCAATATTTCTATGTCCTAAGAATGAAAAACCAACATTTTTTGCATTACTTTTAAAATTTCTCATCTTCTTCTCCGGAATATGAATCGAAATAAGAACCATTTTTTCTCGCTACGTCAGCTGGAGTTAGTCCTTCATAGTCTTTGATAGTTCTGTCATATCCGTAGTCGAGTAGAAATTTGAGACACCTCGTATACCCTGAATATGAATGACAATTTCACTTCCGATTCGAATTATTTGTTGCTTAATAAATTTATATGTTGCTAATTTCAACATACTCACTTCAGCAAACAAATGAAGAGCGGTACCTCCATCTTTAACATCAAATCTTACATCGGGATGCAGAATGTTTTTTTTTGTCTTTCCGTTTGAGTCCAGCTAAGCTCGCGTCTAAAATGAAATGAGTAAAATATATTATGCAACACACATTTCGATGTTTTCAACACTTTGAACTGAAGCATTACCATCGCCCCATTCAAGAGCAGTTCTTTCGTCTTCTTCCCGTTCCTCTTTCATGTATGGTCTATGACAAATGGGTAAACTTTATTATTTAATAAAATTGCAAAAATATAACGTTGTAATGACACCGAGATGTAACCTCCTTTTTTCGGATATTCCGGAAAATCCGTAATAAGCTGTAACTATATGGAATAATGCCAATATTAGCGCAAAATTATCAAATCGAAAGATTTATCGTCCAAATAGTCAACGTCTTTCAATATTACCTCCAATTAAGGCGATACTTGACAACAGTGCCGCGATATATTCACTCTTCATTTTCAAAACTCGACTTGAAATTGGAGTTTGACGCTTCAGCAGAACTCATCAATTGCGTAATAAGAACGGGTTCAGACAAATACTTCAATTGTTCATATTCTCTGAACTTATGTGTTATCACGTATTATTTCCTGTTTGCGAGTTGTTTTTATCGGAAATTATTTTTAGTCTTGGACAAAGACATGATTGCTTGACTTTGTAGTGACAATATTTGAGCAGCGTTTTTTTACTCTTGGATTCTTATATGTTTGAAAATTGTGGTATATACGTGAACTTATAATATATTTAAAATCCTTGCTTTTATTCCGTTATTCTGTTCGTCTCATTCCAAATCAAAGGTGTGTCATCAATAAACCATTAAAATATTTAACGAGAGAAATAATAACTATCCAATATGCAATCGACATTAAACCTTATTTTTTTTATTCTCAAGAGAAAATGAGACAATCAAAAAAAAATCATCCAAACCGATTTACTTCAAATTGCTGGTCAACAATTTGAGAATTCTACTAAATACATTTTACGTGTACTAAAACCATTTAATGGACAATACTAGAAGTTGATATTTATGTTCCGTTATTCTATTTGGCCCAATCCAAATCCTCCAATAGGAAGTAACGATATGGATCAATGGCCATTTCCACGTAACGCCAAAATGGTTTCGAATTTGGTTCTCGAACTTTTCCATAAACAAGTCTTTCTATGACAACTATTATAAACGCCGTTGATACCATGCACAAATAGATGACCATTTCTATGGAAAAACTCTCTGCATTGATTGTTGAATATTGAAATTGGTGTTTTTCATTTCCAAATAATCGATAACGTTTTAGCCATTTGACGATTAAGCCACCTTCGATTGCTCGCTGTATGAATTGGTTCAGCTCATTTGAGAGAGGAAAATCTTTTCGAGTCAACATGCTCAACCAATATTCGTGGATGATGTTCGGATAATCGAAGCAATGTGCATTTTTTAGAGAATCAAAGTGACTAATTCCGGTTTGATTACGCGCAATTGACAGTTCATAGGAAATGGCGGCGGCAATCTTATCATTCCATTGAAGTTCGTTTATGTATTGATCAGGGTGATCTGTCATTTTGAATTTATCCATCGTTGGGTATATCTAAATGTGGAAAGATCAATATTCATACAATATATTCTTGTCGATATTTCTAAATCATTATCTATAATGTAATGTAATTTGGTTCATATTCTGGTACATTTACCTCCCTTTGTTCTGATATTTTTTCAAATGCAAACCGATCACCGACCAATTTGAACTCTCCGTCAATAATTTCTTGAACGGATTGTACTTGAGGGTTCAAGATCGGTGTAATAACAAGCTGCATAAGAACCGAAGATAAAGTACACACAAAAACGAGTGCAGCCAGCAAACATAATATACATAAAATGCGGTTGGCAGTAGTTTTCGGGTAATAGCAACATGGAAATCCCAAAAAACAAACAACAGCATTGAACGTTAGTTTATGCCAATCCCATTTTGGGTGACGTTCAAATGATTGACAGAAATAACTTATGCTTAAAACCATTATTGACAACGCAGTGAAAATGATGTAAACTAATGGATCATTGCACAAATGGGATATCTTTTTCCACAACGGAATCGGTTGCCTTTTTTGCACACACCACGTTAAAGCGTCATGATAGTAAGATCGCAATGCCACCAATTTCTGGTTTGTTATAACATTTTCTTCCAAACCGCCAATGAAGATGTCGATTTTACTGAAAATAAATTTTCACGATTTATTATATCGAATTTCATTTTTGAATGTCAATCAAAAAAAGAAAACTCACGAAAATGCAGCTGATTGTGAAAAGTTATTAAAACGTTCTTCGCTGCTGAATACTACCTTCAATGGTGCGTCTGTGGCGACATATTCGATTTTCAAGTGGCGTCGTTTTGCGAAGTTTTCAATTATGTCCACATCCAATCCTTTGAATGAGTGATTTTCATAAAAAGCGAATGGTTTCGATTGTGATACCATTACTGTCATCGTTCGAATTGGCTTCATTTCAGATGGTTTTAAAATGAAAATCAAAATCACTATGGACAATTTTAGCTGCAACATTCGGACGTATGTTTGATGGAAAAATTCAAGCGTGAATAAATGAACTTCAAGAACTGGAATCAGGCATCAAGTCAACTTTTCACTACCTTTATACTGCCACGTGAACAAACATGATTTCAATTTATAATGACAAAAAAGGGAAATGCAACCGGAAATCGACTTAATGTTTTTTTAATATTTTTTTTTTCCCCAAGAGACTGGTAATCATCATTTACTGTGTTCGATTTCAAACAGCAGTGGCATTTGATACGTAGTTAGTCGTAGATGATCACTTCATTGCATAATGATCTAATACGCTAATTATCAACTGTTTAATGTAGAAAAACGCATATACGATGTAGCCAGTGTTCGTAAAGTGTATTTTTTCTCGCAGAACATTATATTTCGGAAAATTCGGTCATTCATAGGACTGTAGA